TTTTCTATTCCATTACATTCCATGTTTTCTATTCTATTATATTCTATTCTATTCCATTCCATATTTTCTATTCCATTACATTCCATGTTTTCTATTCTATTATATTCTATTCTATTCCATTCCATATTTTCTATTCCATTCCATATTTTCTATTCCATTCCATTCTATTCCAAAGGTGGGTTGTGTTTGCACTTTGGCATGAGTGATAGTGACAGAAAAACAGACTGTTTTGGGGAGGTCTGCAAAGTGCAAAACCTTTTTTTTTAATTTGCCTCTTCAAAATCTTGGTGCGTCTTATACTCCGGTGTGTCTTATATTCCGAAAAATACTGTATGTAAGTTTTTATTTTATTATAATATAAACAATCCATTGTCCATTAAACAGTGTGTCTTCTGGGTACAAATATTTTGTGCAGTAACAACAATTCAGTCATTATTATTTATTCCAGTTTAATACCGTGTTTTCCCGAAAATAAGACAGGGTCTTATTTTCTTTTGACCCCCGAAATAAGCACTTGGCCTTATTTTCGGGGAGGTCTTATTATTTTTGAGGTGCAGGAGGTGGCGAGCACGGTCACCTCATGGCTGTTGCTCTGTTGCAATATTTTCATGGAGGGCTTATTTTAGCGCATGCACTCAAAAGCCTGATTGGGCTTAATTATCCAGGGAGGTCTTGTTTTCAGGGAAACAGGGTACCAATACCTTAAATATCTAATACTATAGCAATCCTCTTCTTAATTTATTTAACTTTGTTAATTATATTAACTCTATTGATGCATTTTTACACAGCTAATTTTACTTCAAATTCTTATATTTATTCTCTAACCATCGGATAAAATGATTCCCATGGAATACAATAATCAGTTTGTTCTTTCTCTAATTGCCAGTGTTAATCTGTTCATTTCTGCTCATTCTAATATTTTCCTAATCGCATTCTCCTCTGTGGGAATCTCTTTTTCAATTTTGTGCAAATACAATCCTAGCTTCTGTTATAATCTGGATAACCAAATATACATTTTCTTTACTATAAGTTTCTGGTAAAATCCCCAACAGGAATATTTCAGGTTTTAAGTTTTAAGTTGTTCTATCATCTTTTTGAGCCACAGATGTATTTTAGTCCAGTATTGTTTTGCTTCTACACATCCACTACGTATGATAGTATGAGCCAGGTGACATTTCCAACATTTAACTGATTTATCCTTGAAGTTCTTCGCCAATCTTGCTGGTGGCAAATGCTTATTTAAAACACTTATTCTGGGATGTTCCCAGCGCAGTACTGAGAAGGGGAATGGAAATGCTTTTTAAGCTTACGCTAGGTGACTCCTTCATGAGAATAAGGGAAGGGCTGACCCCAAATAGGCATAAACGAGATGTATTTTCAATGTTTTAGGACCAAGCTCCAGAGAAGTCCAAACCCTGCCAACTGTGTCAAGAAGAAAGGACTCGGAGCGAAAGAAAGGTAATTCAGCATCTGCACCTCCATAAATGTCTGGTTTGGTTCTGCAACCCAACAAGACAGACACAGACTTCAATTCATAATTAGAACTGCAGAAAAAAAACAATGGCTACCAACCTGCCTTCCGTTGAGAACCCGTACACTGCACGAGTCAAAAAGTGGGCTGTGAAAATAGCTACAGACCCCTCGCATCCTGGACATAAATTGTTTCAACTTCTACCCTCAAAACGACATTATAGGACACTCAGTGGTGGGATTCAAATAATTCAACAACCGGTTCTCTGCCCTAATGGCTAGCTGGATAGGCATGGCTTGATGATCATGTGACTGGGTGGGCATCCATATAAAAGGAATGATTGTGCACACACCCGTTGCAGGAGTCAACGTATTCACTAGAGCTGGAGAACTTTTGTGGCTAGCTTGGCAGGCTGGATTGCTGCCAACGTCTAGTCTGTGCTGGATTGCTGCCAAGGTCCTGTCTCTGTGTTAACAAATCCTTGAAGTATCTTTGTCTCGGCGTGCTTTGGTGTAGGACGAGAGGGGCCAGAACACCATTGTAAGTCTGAATGGTCGTTAAATAAACGGCTATATGTTGAGGACAGCCTGCGGCTAATTGGAATTCTCATGTGTGTTATTGCTATTTCTCCCCTCTTCAGAACACCTGCAAGAACTGCGGAGGCGTCTTCTGTGAAGATTGCTCAGCAAACGAACTACCTCTCCCCTCTAGCATCAAGCCGGAACGGGTGTGCAATCTTTGCCACAAGCACTTAATACAGCAATATTCTGCCAGCCCTCCCTAGGACTGCAAAGAGTGACCCTGCTTTCTGTTCGCCTGGCCCTTCCCCTTGAAACGAGATCGATCTCGGGAGCGGCTTAAAAGACGTTATTTCCGGAACCATGTTTGTTTGTTTTTTTGCTTTCGCAGAGACGAAAAAGAACGTGGGGTGGAACAGTCGTCCGCCGACAATCCGTCGTTGTAGTTTTGAAGCTTTTGCGTTGACTGCACCTTGACGAGTCCCCCGTACCCGTCCCTCCCCGCGGTGCAGATTGGGGAATTTCTCCTACGTGGGTCTCCGTTTAGAAAGAAAAATGATTGGTGTTAAGTGTTTAGGAGAGCTTTTTTGTCGACCAAAAAAAAAAAGAGGCCAGCCATTGACGGACACGAAAAGCGATAGAAAATAGGACATAGGAAATTTTCTATGGGGGGGGGGGTCAACTGTGCAGAAGTCACAATAGGAGCTATGGGGTCTCCCAGGCTAGGGATACAGGCACTGTTTTCTGTAGAACAGGGGTGTGTTCAACCTTGGCAACTTTTAAGATCTGTGGACTTCAACTCCCAGAATTCCCCAGCATGGCTGGCTGGGGAATTCTGGGAGTTGAAGTCCACAAGTCTTAAAAGTTGCTAAGATTGGATATCCTTGATGTACATCACAGGGTGTCAAACTGGATTTCTTCTAGGGCCAGATCAGCATTGTAGTTCTCCTCCATGGGCCGGCCGGGGTAGGGTGCAGGGAGAGACAGGACGGATGCCTCCAGCACCCTACTGGGCAAAATGGTGTGTGGGGGAGTGTGTGTGGCCTCTGCACACTTGTTTTGGCTGGCAGGGTGCTGCAGGAGGCTGCCCAGGCCGAAAATGGGCTGTGTCGTGGCCACGTGCATCCCCCCCCCCTTCCCGTTTTGGCCAGAAAAGGTGTTGCAGGAGGCCATCCAGGCTCCCGGAGCCAACACAGACCGGGCCTTTGCTATTCCCAGGCCGATCCTGCTAGCCAGATGTAAGCATCCCGCAGGCCAGCCCAGCCCACAAGGTTTGGGTTTGACACGCCTTCTGTAGATGCGTGACCCGTCAAAACCGCGGTCAACAAAAGCGCGCTCGACGAAAGCGCGTACATGACGTCATCACAGTGCGACAAAAAATATTAAAAATTGAAATAAAAATAAAATTAAAGCAACCCGATTCACATAAAGGTAAGGGTTAGGTTTAGGGTTAGGTTAAGGGTTACGTTAAGCGTTAGGGTTACGTTTAGCGTTAGGTTAAGGGTTAGCGTTAGGTTTAGCGTTAGGTTAAGGGTTAGGTTTAGGGTTAGGTTTGGGGTGGTTAGGGTAAGGTTTTTGCTTTAATTTTACATTTACCGCTCACAGCGCGATGTTTTCGTCGCGCTGTGATGACGTCACGTATGCGCTTTCGTCGAGCGTGCTTTTGTCTACCACGGTTTTGTGGTGGAACCCTGTAGATGAACTGAGTTATATGGAGTCTCTGTTTCATAAACGGGCCTGTACGAGCTGTAAATCAAACACTAAAATGGGAGATTCGGTGATATTACACACTCAACTCTATAGTTACGTAGCCTAAAATGGAGGCATACAAATTTTGATGTTACGGGGTCCGCACTGTCAACATTGAGTGTTTTCTTAAGTGGACTTTGGGAATTCTAATGGCAAACACAGAATTGGTATAATAGAATTTTGTTCCTTAAATCTCTCCAAAATGGGAGGCAAGAGGGATGAAAATATTGATTCTGCCCACTCTGGGCGGGTTGAATGCCAGAAGCGATTCTGGCAATCCGTTTCGTAAATACAGGATGTCTGTAGCTCAGGTTTGAAGAACAATTCTTGCAATATAGACAAAGCCCGCGATTAAACCTTTTGGAAATATATTTGCAAAACAATAAAATTAAAATCTGAACTGCCAAATAAAAAAAATAAAGCAATTGGTTAAGGATAAAAATGCGGCAAACATGCTTCCCCCCCCCCCAAGTGAAAAAGTTTTTGAACACAAAAAGTTTTCTTTGCTGCTTAAAATAAGACTTTCCTTTACAAAGTCTTTAAAAAGACGGAATGTGGTAGGCAGCAATTCTGCATTTACTTTTTGGCATGCTAATAATTCAGCCAAAGTAGTCCTTTTCAACTTCTCAGGTTACCAAAGTCAGCGACCGAAAACCATTGTAGATTTGGGTGACCTATAAAAATCATACATTCATTCTTAAATCTCTTGATATAGAAGGGTGGTATTGTGGCCTAGGGGTGAAGACGTTCACCTCCCGCTTGGAAGGTTGAGAGTTCAATTCTAGGTAGCGACAGATGTTTCTCTCTTAGGGGGCAAGGGGAAACCAATTGTCCTGTGAACTCCACATAGGCATCGGGAAGGGCAGCTGGCCAGTCAATTCTCACTCCATCCAGTTGCCCCACCCCGAGTTAAAGGATTATAGGGCTGTAAAAAGAAAAAAAAGTAACTTGAACTCTTAATATAAACATAAATGAGATAGTAAGACTATGTGGGCAGTACAATTCATTTAAATGCAATTTAAATTGTTTAATTTATATGCATATGATTTTTTTAACCCATTATTTAATGGTTTTCAGAAAGCATGGTAGCAAGTTATGGAATGTATTGTGACATGTAGCAGAGACTGTTGCTTAACAAAGGGAACTCTCTTTAACAGTGGTGACTATTGTGCAGTTCCAAATTGTTTCATCCTTTGTACAGATGTTTTATTTGAACTGGACATTAAAATGAGGCCACAGAATGCATTTGAATCAGTTTTTTTATTTGCCTGAATGCAGTCCTTACTGACCATTTGTTAAAAGGTAAAGATTCCCCTCGCGCATATGTGCTAGTCGTTCCTGACTCTAGGGGGCGGTGCTCATCTCCATTTCAAAGCCGAAGAGCCAGTGCTGTCCGAAGATGTCTCTGGTCATGTGGCCAGCATGACTAAACGCTGAAAGTGCATGTTCCCTCTTGCCACCAAAGGTGGTTCCTATTTTTTCTACTTGCATTTTTACCTGCTTTCGAACTGCTAGGTTGGCAGAAACTGGGACAAGTCACGGGAGCTCACTCTGTTAAGCGACACTAGGGATTCGAACCGCCAAACTGCTGACCTTTCTGAGTTTAGCCACTGAGCCAACGCATCCCTCTTTGCCAAAAAAGGGCAGGTAACTAATTTCACTTTGAAATGGACAGGCACATTTAAGATCTCTCGGTGCAATAAATCTGTTTTCACCCATTTAATGTAATGGTAAAGGCACCAAGCTAGAAGCCAGGTGAATGTGGGTTCTAATCCCGCCTTAAGCATGAAAGCTGGTTGACTTTGGGCCAATCACTAGTTGATTGTGAGTTCTAGTCCCGCCTTAGGCATGAAAACCAGTTGGATGGTTTTGAGCCAATCACAAATTTGCTGTGAGCTCTAATCCCGCCTTAGGCATGAAAGCTGGTTGACTATGGGCCAATCACTAGTCGACTATAAATTCTAGTCCCGCCTTAGGCATGAAATCTGATTGGACGACTTTGGGCCAGTCACACACACACACACAACCCAATTCATTGCACAGGGTTGTTGGGGGTGGAAAATAGGAAGAAAACGGTAGTAGGCTAACAACACACATCCTCCTTTGAGATGAATCTGGAGCCTGTTTCCGATGTGCGCATGCGCAGAGCTGTCAGGAGAAGGGAACAGCTAAGGAACAAGGGCCGACTCAGGAGTAAAGCCACAGGTGGATGGTGAAGGGCCCCTCCTATAGGGAATAGAGAGGAGCAAGGGGAGTGGAGTTTGCAGGAGACAATGAGTTCCATTCATCAGATCTGTTTCTGACTTCTTGCCAAGTAATTGCTGTTATAGAATGGCGATTGGAAGATATCGGCCTGGCAGTTCTCCAAGTCCAATAAAGGTCTGTAGTTGTGAAATCTCATGTAAGACTGTTGGCCGGGACTTTGCTGGCGAGGAATTCCCTTTAACCTAAATAACAGAGGTTTTATCGGGACGAGGAGTCTGCTTCATGAACTTGGGAAGCCCAGGTCAGAACAGTTCAGCTGGGACGCAGAATTTTCTAGCTGTTGATTGCCTAAGCAATCAAGTTTCTGCCCAGTCCCTTCTGCTGTTATGTCACTCCCTGGTATCCCACCACTACAATTTCATCAAAACCTAGGAAGGAAATTGTTCAGTAGTGGTCACCTTAGCCTCATCCCCCATCTCTTTTCGTATTACCTGCTAATGTGGAAGCTCCCTGGCCTCAACCTAATCAATTTGGAGAGTGAAAGCTAAATGTGGAAGTTCAAAGATGGGAAAGGAAGTATTCCTATTGCCCAGGAATATTCAAGACTTTTCAAGAGGAGTAGTGTTTTATTAGGATTCTAAGATGCCAAACTTGCCTACAAAAGCATTAAGTCTATAAATCAGCTTCTTAACCCTATTACAACGTAGAACGGATGTCCAACTTTGGTAATTTTCAAAATATGGACTTCAACTCCCAGAATTCCCCAAACATCATGACTGGCAAGGGAATTCTGGGAGCCGAAGTCCACAGGTCTTAATGGCTGGACATCCCCTGATATAAGATATTTTCATAAGCACATTCTTTCATGCGTACAGTTCAGGGGTGTCAAACTGGCGGCCCGTGGACCAGAGGCGTCATGCACAGGCCACACCCATCCCAGCTCTGCGAATGGGAAAAACGTCGCAAAACATCACATGACGGTAATGTGGCATGGCACGTTTGACACCTGTAGTATAGTTGCAGCCATATGGTGTCTAGTCAGCATTTCCTCCAAGTTCCTATCTCAAAGCCCTCATACTAAGTTTCACACAAACATTATTCATATCCTCAGAAGTACCATGGCTGAGCGGGTACACGGCCACCATTTCCCGCAATCCCTCGCTCCCTCTCTCTCTCTCTCTGCTGGAGGAGGACAGGACCCACTCACTACTACTTAATGATCGAGCTGGCTTTGTGAGCCAGATGTTCTGAAAGGAAAGGCGATTTCCATCTGGGATGGTCAGAATGGACAACCCCAAAAGCTGCTTCAGAGCCTCTCCGCCGGGTTCCCAACCAACCAGGAAATGTACTGTAGCAAAAACTTAAGTAGAGTTCAACTTTAATGTTGGTTTACGTAAAACAAGAGCCTGCACAACCGTTTTGTAAGGATTTTCAGACACAGCCGCTGGAGTTTCTTTGAATGGCAATTCGGGGCGACGGGGATAATAGTCCAGCTCTAGGAACGTGCAGAGATGAAAAGCATCTTAGCTTATCTGTTGAGAAAGAGAACAGAAGCAAATAAACAAAGAGGAAACAAGGAAGAACCAAGGAAATAAACAGAGAAGTCAAGGATGCCAGTCAAATGACATTCATAAAGGAGTTATCAAGCAATCTTTGAGGATTCGGAAGTACAGATGGATTGCTTGGTGTATCTTTCCTGTTCTTTGAGCGAATTGATAAAAGAAGTATAGGTAGGCCTCGACTTACGACCATTAAGGCCAAAATTGTTCTGACCGAGGCTTCCCAAGAGCATGAAGCAAACTCCTTCCCAACAAAAAACCCTTTTATTTCCTGTGAATTCTGCTCATTCACATCCAGCCAAGTCTTTCAAGGGAGGATTTACAGTCACAGACCTTATCTGGCTTGGAGAGCTGCCAGGCCGAGATCTGCAAAACTTGGCAAGGAGTCTCGGAGAGTCAAGAGCCAATTAAGCAAATTGTCTCCTGCAAACTCCACTCCCCTTTTATTTCCTCTGGGAGGGGCCATTCACCATCCACCTGTGGCCTTACTCCCAAGTCGACCCTTATTCTTTAGCTGTTCCCTNTTCATCTGGCAACTCTGCGCATGCGCACACTGGGAACAGGCTCCAGCTGTTCCTCTGTCTCACTGATGTCTGACTCTGAAGGCAGCTGATAACTGGCATACGGCCCTGGCCCCCTCTCTGCCTCCGACACAGAACCCTCTGCTTTTGGCTCCTCCAAAAGATATCCGAATGGGCAGATTTGACAAAACCCCCAACTGCCTCCAAATGCAGACATCCCTCAACAAGCCACGCATATCCCTTTGCCACAAATTTGCCAATGAACTCACCTAAACTTTGGGAATTATACCCCTATTGTAGGCCGCTCTATTTTCTGCTTGGTGATGAATTCAGAAACAATTCAATATAACTATGCTCTGCAAAATAAAGGAAGATTAAACGTCAGGCGGCACAAAGAATCAGGAGCATTTCGTAAGGCTGCAGCAAGAGAGGATTTACTCAAGCCAACATGCAACATACATTAAGTGAATCTTGGCTTCTCTGTTGACTCTGCTTGCCAGGTGATCACCTGACTACAGAAACCCCACAACTGCCATAAATGCATATCATTGCCAAGCGTCCAAATTTTGACCCTGAAGCAATCTCTGCCAGCCATGTGTTATGATGACCGCCTGCCTTTAGGAAATCCATCTTTCTGAGACATTAGCTTATTCAAAAGTCTACAGCGCTGCCCACGATTGCTTTTCGAACCACATAAACCTGTGGGGGAGGGATCACAAAAAGTACTTACGGACTTTAAAGTTGTTCTTGGCCATGGCCGCAACTGCGTCTGTGTGCGTTTCAAAGTGTACATCTGCTTCTCCGGTTGCATGGCCACATGAATTATATTCCATTGTGATCCTCACGGGCTTCAAGGGAGCAAAAAACTGAGAAGGAAAGAAAAAGAGAACAAAATCCAGGAGGTTGATAAGTCAGATTCGAGGACTGATCTGATTATTAAATGTCAGCACTTTAGAAGAGAAGATGAAATAGAAGCTGATGCACATGCCACGTACTTCTATGTTTATAATGGAGAGTGATACTCCTTGAGTTACGATCACAGTTGAGCCCAACATTTCCATCGCTAAGCGAGACAGTTGTTAATGGACCCACTTTACGACCTTTCTTGCTGCAGTTGTTAAGGGAATCACTGCAGTCGTTAAGTCAGTATCACGGTTATAAAGTGAATCTGGGCTTCCGCGTTGACTTTGCTTGTCGGAAGGTTGCAAAAGGGGATGATATGATCCAGTGGTGCAACTGAATTTTTTTTACTACTGGTTCTGTGGACGTGGCTTGGTGGGCGTGGCAGGGGAAGGATACTGTAAAATCTCCATT